CTATTTATCTATCTATCTATCTATCTATCTATCTATCTATCTATCTATCTATCTATCTATCTATCTATCTATCTATCTATCTATCTATCTATCTACTTGTCTGTTTGTTTGTCTGTCTGTATAACGTATATTGTGCTGAAATCTACATTTCTACTCAATAATTTCCTCTCAAAGTTTCTAAAATGTTATTAGATGAATATTGTAACAGTATTTCATTCGTTAATAACTTACCACATGTCTCACTCTCAGGGATATATCTCGCTACGTGCTTCTTACATCTTCTACCGGACACAAGAGAGAAAATGGCTGCTGTGATGCTGAATATGGGCTCAAGAACAACGTACGCTGTCCCCGAATTGCTGGTCATCTCAGGTTTCTACGCAGTCGTCTTTGTAGAGCAAATTATTCAGGTACTCACTGCTTAATTTCAGTTTTTGTATTTGGTTAATTTACCTTCACCTTTTCTGTCCTCTAGTACTGCATGGAGTCGAGGGTAGACGTAATTGTTGGACGTCAGCCAGGTGCCTTGCTTTTTGGATCCTAATATTACTTGTATTATACCTTTGAAAGATCTCTTTGATTCCATCAACCCCTGGTCGTCCCTTTGTCTTGCAGCCATCTTTTCGCAGAATACAGGACTTTGGGGCTGGCTGCCGTTGCCCTACTCTCATAACGTGTCCAAACTACCTTATTTGTTGTCTCTCGGTGTACTTCATGCAACATTCGACGCCCTGTTTTTGTCTTATGTCTTTTCTTCTTTGTCCGTCTCCTCTGGTGTGGTCAACACCCTGCTGTAAGTACAAGCCACAAGTTGTATAAAATGGGGGGGGGGGGGTGAATTGATGTCGTACCAGACAGCCCGACTATGCCTTAAATTATTTCGAAAGAGGGGGGAGGGGGCTCTTTTGCTGAAAGGCTGGGGTGGTACACTTCAAATAGCTTTATATGCAGTGCATCCTGGTCAAAGATGAACGCAGTGCTCGACAATTAGCATGTTGTATTTTCTACTGGTGGACTGTAGATCAATAAACCCCTGTTACCTCCCCAACTCTGAAAATAGAGACTTTCGTTGGAGGGGAGATGGAAGGGATGTTGCATTGCAAGTCAGGAGACGGACATGGGAAATGGAGATTCTGACAAAAGTCTGTCTCAAAATGCTGAAAACTTTACGATAAAGTGAGAACTTGACAGAGAAATATTGATTTAGCCTTATGAGGAACATTTTAAAAAAGGGTAAGTAATTTCACAGATGGCAACGTGCACCTTTGTGGGCGCATGTGTGTTTGTGAGTGTGCACGTTCGTTTGTCAATCGCAATGTGACAATTCCATTACTCCAACACAGACTGATTAAAGAAAAACGAAAGAAAACTAAGCAAACAAAACATTTAACCCGCCGACTTCAAACAGTGTACAGAGCAATTGTAAGAATAAGTTACTGACTTAATTTGAACCGGGTTTATACATTTTCGTTTATGACTTTGTAGCGTTTGTCGTGAGGGTAATTTGTACCACCTTTTTTCAAGACTTATCATAATTATGCTTAATGTAGCGATTAAAAAAGAAGCAATTAATAAAGGTATGCAGTGATCAAACTCGTTTCATACCTGGCATTCAGATGGTCCATCTCTGTTACAGTACTGTCATCATCATCATCATCATCATCATCATCATCATCATCATCATCATCATCATCATCATCATCATCATCATCATCATCATTATCATCATCATA